TTTGCAGTGAGGTGAAGCTTAACATCTTGGATCCACTTGAGGTAGTTTCTTCCAGAGACCTTTAAAGCGATGAAGTCGAGTTTGTTCAAATTTGACATGTTCCTATCACAAAATAGATGGACAAGATGTGGTTAGTGTAATGGAGAAAAATCAATCCATTCACATAGGAGTAGAACATATGGGTTCTAATAGACATGTATTGGTTTAATTTTGCATGAAAAAACTTTGGGTTTTCATGGGTGATGGTTTTAAATGAAAACTTCAGGTTTTCAAACAAGGCATGTTTGTAAGAAACTTCAGGTTTCAAAATAATTATGAACTTCAGGTTCAGATATTCCTGCATGCAAACACAAATATATACACAGAAAAATGCAACAATAATATGCAAGAATAGAACTTTAGGTCTATAATTATAATTGAACTTAATTATTTGGACTTCGGGCCAAATTAAAGTGTGGTTGAAAAAAATATAAAACCCATTGGGTCTAAAATAATTAGGCGAATAAAACTCGAGGCTCAAAAGAAAAATAAGCCCACTGGTGGCTTCAAAATAATGTGATCCGTGTGACCTAGGCCCAAAAATTGGGTTGGGTTTGGTCTCGAGTGGGGCTACATGCCCAAACAAAGTGCGCGCAAATAGTGAAACCAAGGGGGAAGAAAAATAGGCCGGGCCTAGGTAGTGGGCTGCTTCGGGCAAGCTTAACAAAAAAAACTTATGTTTGCGCGAGTCACTTCAAGCGAGCCCAAAGAAAAAAACTTTTGTTTTTTTTTTCTTTTTTTTTTTTTCGCGGGTTGGTTGGTCAAACAACTTATGGGCCTATACAAGGGGCCCAAAAAATTAGAGAGCATGCCAAGAGATGGAGCCTAATAGGGTTCAGGTTGGGTCCAAAGACAGCCCAGCCGTAGCTGGGTGTGTTCGCCGAGGAAGAAGGTTGGCGCCACCGTTTCGGGTGGCCGTGCTTTGGGACAACGGTGCTTGGGGCGAGTCCATGGGTCAATGAAGACCTCAAATATGAACAGAGATTGAAAAATCTTAACGTTCTATCAAAACCCTAGTAATACGAATTGGAAATTTAAAAAAAAAAATTCCGACGAGATTCGACAATCTCGGTCAACTGGTATCGAGGACGAGCTTCAGGTTATCAAACATGGTGACCCGTGGATGGGGATTGGCTGACGGCCAACCTACGACAGGGGAAGACGCCATGGAAGACGTCGGGATCTCTGGGTTTCAATCTTGGAGCCCTCGGCCACCCAAGTTGCAGGCCTGGTTCAATGGCGCGAGGGCATGGGTTCGAAGAACTGAGGTTGCTTGTTCCGGTTTCTTTTTTTTTTCTGTTTTTTTTTTCAATTCAATTCATATATAATTTAATTCAAAGTATATTTAATTCAATAGTATAATGCATATACATATATTTGATGCAATTCATGGCAAATATCAAATTCACATAATTCAACAATTATGAATATAATGCATACACAATTTATGTGGAATCTAAAATTCAAAAAACGTAAAGTTGGGTCATGCATTATGGTGAATGTTTATGCAATCAGGGCTGCAAAAAATATCAAGATAAAAACCTTTGTTTTGGAAGAACTTGATTGCGTGATGATATGGATGAACTGGTTTGATGCAGAAAAATTCTTCAACATCAGATTCTTAAGCGCAGTGGTATGAGCTTGTTGATAATGTGTTGTGGTCTATTTTATCTGACAAATGGAATAGGGCCGGCTGCAAGGGTACAAAAATTGAGAAAGATGTGTTTGTAGAATTGTAGGGGAATGTGTGTTGTTATCCCTCCTACATTGTGCCTTTATTTATAGTAGTAAAAAGAGAGAAGATATTCCTTCATCCCCAAGGAATACAAGATGTAATAGGAAAGGATAACTAGAATCAAATCAAATCTAGGATTTACACAATCACACTTAAACTATGAATGTTTACAACACTAAAATGGGTTTTAACCCTTTTTTTTTTTGTCAATACAGCTTCTTTGTTTAGAAATAGAACATTACAAATGGTCGAAAGAGAAACACACAAAAGAAACTAACTAGCCAAGGCCCAAAGCTCAACACCACCACAGAGCCACCAAAACACAAGTGCAGGAAGAGAACCGAACTAGCAATTAGCCAACATGCAAATGTATTTTGAGCAAGGTTCTAAAAAATGCTAGGCGTTAGTCGGGCGGCTAGCCAGCGCCTAGCGCCTAGGCGGTCTAGGCGGATTTAGGTTAATTTCTTGTATATCTTGTAAATAATGCATATTGACACATGAAAAATTATACTTATATTAAATCCATGGATAAGATAATAAAAGAATGATAAAATACAAAAATAGTATCCAACAAGTCTAAAATTTAAAAACGCATTAAACATATATGCCATATAACTTAAGACATTTTGAATGATTATATCAATTTAAAAAAAAAATAAAAGTAAAAATGTGAAGTAATGGGTTAGGTGGTTAATAATAAAACTACTAGAAAGCCATGCTAGTTATCCCTTAATGAAACCACACACATTGATATCATCCCCGAAATCCTCTCTCTTTTATTTATGATTTTATTGGCGTCCACTTTGAACTTTGGAGCCAAAACCGATCCGAGCATGAGTCTTTTATTTATGATTTTAATTTTATCTGGGTTGGTGTCACTTTCATTTGGAGCACCAAAACTGGTCAGAGCATGCATCCTTCCCCATTTAATATCAACTGGTCCTATCTCTCTCTCTCACCTCTCTCACATCTTTTCTCTTTACCTTTGACACAGACACACCCCACCCTCACGTCACTCTTTCCCTCTCTTTCTAAACCTACACACTGAACCACCAATTCTTATCATCATTTACACATCACCACCATTTTTGTTTTTGAAAACCGGTTCTCTCCTCTCTCTCTCTCTTTCTCTCTTTTCTCTCTCTCTCCTTCTCTTGAAAGTTGAAACCATCTTTTCCTCTAAGATTACAGCTTGCTCTCTTTCTTTCTCTCTCTCTCTCTCTCTCTCTCTCTCTCTCTCTCTCTCTCTCTCTCTTTTCAAACTCTCTGCCTTCTTTCTAAACCACATAGCCAAAGAGAGGTCCAGGCACCATCACAACAAATTCCAATTAAATTGAGACCCCAAACCACCAAATACAAGACCTGCGTAACCTGGGGATCCCTATGGTACCTTTGCATGTTAAATTTTGTGATGGAAAGTAGGAGAATCCAAGTAGGGGTTCTCGGTGAGAGTTGCTCTAATGGAATCGAGCTACAACCTTTGAAAATTGAGCTTCTAGCGTGGAGCTCCGGCGAGGAACCCGTCGAACTTGGGATCCCTTGAGCTCGAATTAGTCCCGTTCGAAACTCAGGTAGCTTAACCCATGCTTTGCATGTTAATTTCAAGTTTAAATTCGAGTTTGCGATTTTGGGTTTCTGTTTGGAATTTCTTCCCAGGAAACCATTTCACTCCGCCTAGATAGCCGCCTAGACCGCCCAGGCCGCCTAAGAGAGCCTAGGCGGGTGCCTAACAGCTCCCTGATTTTTCTTAACGATTCGGACCTAATCGCATTGACACACCTCTGCCCAGCACCTAGGCCGATTTTTAGAACACTAATTTTGAGGTACAAGATTGAAATCGCACCCAAACATGAGGGCATAAAATATAATTAATTCTAACATTTAAATGAAGCAATTTTTTGGTGAAGAGGGTCCAACAAGAACGATTATAACAAATTCAAACCATTTGAAACGATTCGTTTGTAGTCCAAATTACCCAACACACTTTTTGTGCAAATTTTCACAAACCAAGTAGCACATTGCATGCGTAAGAATATAAAATATCAATAGATCAAAAGCTAGTTAGTTATTCCATTTGATGTAGCCATTTGTAAGGATTTTCTATTGGGATTTATTCGATAGCAAAAGTTGCGTTAGAAGTAAAGAGACCCTTTTTTGAGATCCATTACAAAATCCTTAGCTTTTGCTAACATTGTGCTGCTTCCATGCCAAGCAACTGAAGCTGCAGATCGTGTAAACCACATCTCCAACATAGAATTAATATTTTTTTTTGTTTTTTTTAAAAGGGGGATAACTGATGGCAAATCACGGTTATACACCTTTTTCGGGGACCGAGAAGACTCACAAAAGCATTTCAACCTCTTCTTGGTGACAAGTTTGACTTCCACACCAGCCTCACAATCCGCCATTTACCACTTAGGCCACCAGCTCGTGGTTATAGAATTAATAATTTCATTTATTTATATCATGCATATATTTTTGTGCACTACTTCAATTTATGATTTTAAAATCTTGTTGCAAATTTACCAATTTTTTTTAGTCAATGAAGAGGTTAGATTTGAACCTAAAAATTAACCACTTGAATTGCTCATTTACAAAGCTTTTCGACGACAGGAATATTGAGAGAACTTGTTTTCTACAAAAATTAACCACTTGAATTGGTCATTTACAAAAATGATATTTTCTTTCCTTACTCAATGATTTTATGAAACATATAATTTGGTTGTTGACGATTGAGTTATTATTTAAGTATTGATTTACGTGCTTATTTACTATTGATAAGTTGATAACACAATAATAGTTTGCAAATTTGGTCTAAAAAATTAATTTACCTAACATTACTCGGGACGAAACACTGCCTAAACTGTTCATCCTGATCAAACCATACCTAGATGAGTTATATGTTCAATTTTTACACTAAAATAGGAAAATTATCAAGAAAAATTACTACCCAGGTTACATTTTTTTTTCTTTGGTAATTTCTTAAGTCACCTTCCAATCTACAAAATGCTTTGATTTAAAGAAAAATCAATGAAAAATGATTGAAAATTTTGAATTTTAACCAAAAAAATAAAAATGTATAGTAAGTAAATAATAATATAAATGACATTTTAAGTAAAAATGCCCTCAAGATTCAAATTAAATAGTACTAAAAATATTTCATTAAAACTCTCTTGATTCTGATCAACGGGAAAGATGCTTTACGCTTTGAAAAAACCAAATCCAGCAGCAACTGCTGCAACGGTAAAGCGGTTCTTTAACACCTCCCAAACGACGTCGCACCAGGCGTTGACTTCTCCTGTCTTCCCTTCCTCCTCCCCCTCCTCTATAAACCCCTGCTAAAACCAGATCTCACTCTCACTCAAAGAATGGCGAGTCGACTCGTTCTCGCATTCGCACTCAGTGCCCTCCTCTTTTTCTCCCACTCGGTTCTCTGCAAGGACTCGCACCCTACCGACGACAACGACGAGGATCTCAGCTTCCTCGAGGAGCCCACTGACCACGGCGACGCCGCGCCGCACTATCCAGATTCGGACCACTACGACGAGGACAATTTCGACGATCTCGAGAACTACTCCGATTTCGACGAGGGTGGCGATCATGAGGACTCGTACAAGCAGCCAGAGGTAGACGAGAAGGACGTCGTCGTTTTGAAGGCAGCGAACTTCAGCGATGCAGTGGAGAAGAATAGATTCATGATGGTCGAGTTCTACGCGCCGTGGTGCGGACACTGCCAGGCCTTGAACCCGGAGTACGCGGCGGCAGCCACGGAGCTCAAGGGCGAAGATGTAGTTTTGGCCAAGGTTGACGCCACGGAGGAGAACGAGCTGTCGCAGGAGTACGACGTCGAGGGTTTCCCGACTATCTTCTTCTTCATTGATGGTGTTCACAAGCCTTACACAGGCCAAAGAACCAAGTGAGTTTCTTTGTTTTGATTAATTTGATAGAATTATGAAAATTACAAAGCCCAATTTTTAATTTTTAAAATTTTATGGATTGTTTTTAATTTATGGAAATGTGAATTCAGGGAGGGAATTGTAACCTGGATTAAGAAAAAGATTGGACCTGGAATTCAAAACGTGACCACATTGGAAGATGCTGAACGTATTTTGACTGCTGAAAGTAAAGTCGTTTTGGGCTACCTCAACTCTCTGGTGGTATGGTTTTTGCTTTTTCATAATTTTGCCCCGTTTTTGTCAAATTTTTATGAAATCTAAAATTCTTAATCTTTTGATTGTTATGATAATGTATTAGATTATGATTAATGTGCATAAATACACTGGTTGGCCGTAATTACACAGAATATAGAATAGGAATTCAGAAATAGGTGATTGATGAGGCATGCAAAACACTATTTTTTGTTTAATGGAATAAAATTGATATATGTAAAATGAATTATCGAAACAGAAAAGGAAAAGAAAGGTGGCTAGAAGATCTCCTAATTTAATCTTGTTAGCTATTGTAATTTGTCTTCCATATCCCATGATATTGATACTTGTTCTAATTTTGTGTTGTTCTTATGTTCAAAGGGTCCTGAGAGTGACGAGCTTGCTGCTGCTTCAAGACTTGAAGATGAGGTCACCTTTTACCAAACTGTAGATCCCAAGGTGGCAAAACTTTTCCATCTTGATGCTGAAGTTAAGCGCCCTGCTTTGGTCCTGCTAAAGAAGGAGGCTGAGAAACTAAGTTATTTTGGTTAGTTTCTATATTGTTATCACATTGATGTCTCAGATAGAGTTTTTGGGTTGAATTTCTTTATACTCAGTTTCTCATTTCTGCAGATGGTAAATTTGATAAATCTGCAATTGCCGAGTTTGTCTTTGCCAACAAGCTTCCTTTGGTTATCACTTTTACTAGGGATAATGCCCCACAAATTTTTGAAAGTACAATCAAGAAACAGGTAATTTGTTAAATATTTTGATTTTTTCCTTTGTGGATGTGACCTCAATCAGAAACGCTTTACAACAGAGTATTAAACATTTCATGCTGATTGACATATAATCTTTCTATACTCAGCTGTTGCTGTTTGCCACTTCAAAAGATTCAGAGAAGTCTCTCCCTGAATTTCAAAAGGCTGCACAACTTTTCAAAGGAAAGGTATGGTTACCATTAGCTATGTTCTATGAGTTGGGTTGCTGTCATAGAAATTGTTCTAGAGCATCTAAAATAACAATTACATAAAGGTTTTTAAACAGTCTAGGCTTGAAATACCTTGTTCTTAGTGCGTCACGTGTAAAGGAGAAGCTGACAGTGGTTGTTGTTCCAGCATCGTGTTGTTTTTATTTTTTTAGTGCATTAGGGGACAGGGGGAGGATGTTTTGTCGTGTAAAGTTTCAATTTGGTAATCCTTGTGGGCTTTGGTTTCTGAAAAATTTCCAGGAACTCTTTTTCTCGGCATTATTAGGATTTTTTATTCGTGCTCTGCTAAATTGTGTGGTTTCGGTTTGTGCTCATCTCTTCGTATTAACAGAATATTGTTTCAATAGAAAGATACAGAATAAACAAATACCTTGTCCTTTAAGTAGGTTGGTCATTTTGTATTAACTTCTAATGTGTTGCTTCATTTGTTCTCTGTGGCCACTATATATGACCTGCATAATCTGAGCATCTGATCCTTTTTGGCCGCTAAGCTACCCATTGCAGTCTTATTTTGTTAAAAAAGGACAGAGCTTGCAACCTATGTTTGTATAATGTGTGTGTGGTTGCTTGCAGCTTATCTTTGTATATGTGGAAACGGATAACGAAGATATCGGAAAGCCAGTTTCAGATTATTTTGGTGTTACTAGTGAAGCTCCAACAGTGAGCTTTTCCAAACCTTTGTATTTAATTAAATTATTTTTCATTTGGAAACATAGTTGTATATTTGTAATTCTACATACTCCAGTATTTATTTGTGCTATGAAGTTGATAATTTTGTTCCTAACAGGTTCTTGGGTATACCGGAAATGATGATGGTAGGAAATTTGTTCTTGACGGAGAGGTGACCTTGGCTAATTTAAAGGTTGCATCTCTCTCTCTCTCTCTCTCTCTCTCTCTCTCTCTCTCTGCGTCTGTGTGCGCGCCCGCTCCATTCTATACATTCTAACTGTATCTTGTGAATTTATGTTTTATTAGACTTTTGGGGAGGACTTTATTGAGGACAAACTTAAACCTTTCTACAAGTCAGATCCAATTCCTGAAACTGTAAGTGTTAAGTTTTGTTCATCCACCTAATTCTGTTGTGTTGGTCCACTATTCAAATTTATATGTCTTATTTGATTGGCACAGAACGACGGGGATGTGAAGATAGTGGTTGGGAATAATTTTGATGACATTGTCTTGGACGAGTCAAAGGATGTTCTTCTTGAGGTAAAACTGCAAAATAAGAAACAAACAAATTTTTGATTAAAATTTGTCAAGGTTCTCATGTTTTGAAGGATTATCTTCTCAGATTTATGCACCCTGGTGTGGGCATTGCCAATCTCTGGAGCCAACCTACAACAAGCTTGCCAAACATTTACGAGGCATTGACTCTATTGTTATAGCCAAGATGGACGGAACCACAAATGAGCATCCCAGGGGAAAGGTAATGTCAAGTTGCTGTGGGTTATTTAGATAGGGTGCGTATATTAATTGCCTATTCAAGAATTCTGGGGCCAAAATTTTCGTTGGAAGAAAAAGGTGTTAGGTTTATGGTTTTAATATCTAAAGTCAATGTCCACGTCTCGGGGTAAAGGCTGAATGTCTGTTAGAAACAAGAGCTTTGCGGTTAATTGCTGTTCTTTTAATTTTTGCAGGCTGATGGGTTCCCCACACTTCTATTCTTCCCAGCGGGAAATAAGAGCTTTGATCCAGTAAGTGGCATGTAGAATTGTTAAATGCATTCTTCTCTTATGTGCTTCTGCATATATCTTCTTGTTCATCCTTGTTTGCGTCTGACGTAGAATATCTGGTTCCTTGATAAACCAGATTCCCGTAGACTGTGACCGTACAGTGGTGGCATTCTACAAGTTTCTCAAGAAAAACGCATCAATCCCTTTCAAGCTCCAGAAGCCAGCATCAACGCCAAAATCAGAGGGGTCTGCTGCAACAGAAAGCCAAGGGAGCAGCAGCAGCGCAGACGATTCGAAGGATGAACTATGAGGAATACAATAGTGTATGCTATGTGAGTGTGGTAGAAAAGAGAGAGTTATCACATAGAAGAGAAACAGGGAGATTAAAAATCGTAAGTTAATCTCAAATTTGAATCTTAAACCCCTCGAAAAGATATCGGGAGAAAAATTTAGGAGTTGCAGCAAGCAGGTTTTGAATGTGATATTTAAGAAACTTGAGCTGAAGAAATTAATAATAGCACCTTTCTCATTTTTCTCTCTCGTTTCTGTGAAGGATGTGCGTTTTCGTTTTGTTATAAAAGCGTCAAATTAATCTAAACAGGACATTGAGTTCTCTTTAGTATAGTTTGTAATACGATATGAACTTAACACCGTCATTTATCTATGCATTTAAGAAAAAACAATCATTTGACATCTAATTTAATTACATTATTATCTGCGTGTGAATGACTTTTTTTATAATTGGCATTACACGCCTCTTAAAATATTTTGAACATGTTTAAAATAGAGAAAATAATATTTAATAAACAACTAATTGAATTACATTATTGCTAACCCACTCCCTCCCCCTTAGTGTAGATAATATCATTTGTTAAAAATAAAAAAAATAAAAAATAAAAACAATCATTTGCCAGCTAATTTAATCACATTATTATCAGTGTGGGAATGACTTTTTTTATAACCGGCATTACACGCCTCTTAAGATGTTTTGAATCACATTATTGCTAGCCTATTGTGAGGTACTACTTAAAAAATAAAAATAAAAACAAACAAACAAACCACAAAAAAATAAATTATTAAAAAAATACTATTAAAATGACGAAAATGCCTCTACCTTATTTGATGCATTATTTTGGGATTCCTTTGAAGTTTTTTTGTCTTGAGAGCGTTTTTGTCCAAATATTTTTGTTGAAACTTGTTGACAATAAAATCACTATTCACCTTTTCCATTGGCTTTATTTATAGATAGATATATATAAAGGGTTTTTGAGTTTACATGATATAAGTTGTAGTGAGTCCATGAGGAGATGGGTTAGAACAGTCACTTAAATAAGAGTGGATTTTAGCCGTTGATGCAAGCAGATCTCATAGTTCATTAATGGATGATAGTTACTCACGTGTATGGACAACAATTACTAGCAAAACTATTATAATGAAAAATGACATAGACATTTTGGATGAAATGTTCTGTCCAATTATATATCTTAAATGTACAAGTGAACTTAATTTGAGATTCAAAGAAGAATGCGGAATTGTAATTTTATTTTTCAAAGTAGGAACAAATTTGGGATTGTATCCGCAGCAAAACAAAAAAATTTGCCTTCTAAATTTGGAGAAGAACTTACATACAACTAGGACGACAATATGACACTAACCCAAACTAATTACACATGAGTACTTCCACTAGTTGCATGTAATTAAGTTTCTCTCATAAATTTGAGATGGTTGTATAACCAAATTATAACTTCTTCCAAGTTTCAACATCCAACTTCCAACCCAATTTATAAAAGTGAAAATATGACTTTAGCCCTTCAAACTCAATTTTCTTTATATAAAACCCTACATAAATTTTTTACTCAAAGAAAACCCAATGACTAGGATCCACGTAAGCAAATTCATTAACTTCATATTAATTCACACATTTTACATTTTTCACATGCCTAAAATACCCCTATTACATACTTGATGTAGACAATTAATGGTAAGGAAATAGTAAATGATATTGGAACAAGAAAAAAAAAAGACATTAATGTTAAAAATTTATTGCATATTAATTTTTTAGAAAGGTATTGAATTTTCATAAAACTATTCGATTCATTTTTTTCACCCTACTCTTGCATACTTTTGAATTTATCCTTTGTTTATTAATATATTAGAACATTGTATTTCATTATCTACATGCACATTAATTTACCTACGAACAATTATACCATGCGTGTAATTCGATGTATATTAAGAAGAAATGTAGTTCGATGTATATTAAAAAGAAGAAATAATTTACCTATATTAAGAAGAAATGTAGTTCGATGTATAGTATTAAAAATACTATGTTACACCCATGTTTATACAACAATAAAACGTGCCTAACATATCTAACAATACATGAAAAATAATTTACCTACAAGTTAGAGAAATGTTATTTGGTTGGGTGTAGTATAAATTTTTTTAATAATTGGAAAAATTAAATATAGCTAGGTGTAGTGTAATTTTTTGTATATATAATTAGAACAAATTAATTTACCTATCTACTCTTTGAAATGTTCATTTCCAATGATGCAAAATGTTCATTACCTAACTACTAATTAATTTCCAATAATTAACCTACAACAATTATACCATGGGTGTAATATAACATCTTTCTTTACAATGATACAAAATATTGTATGTACCAATAACAAAACTTGCCTAACATAAGTACTTGTACATGGAAAATAATTTATCTATATCAAAAGAAATGCAGTTTGATGTATAAAATCAAAAATATTATGTTCCACTCATGTTTATACAACAACAGAACATGTCTAACATATATAACAATACATATATAACAATACAAGTTAGAGGAATGTTATTTGATTCAAAATATATAAAATAGGTGTAGTATTTTTTTTTTTTAAATAATTGGAACAAACTAATTTACCTACCAATTAATATGGATAAAATTGCTACAAAATATATCACGAAAAAAAAAAAACTACTTTTCTAGTTTGACATAGATACGGTTAATGCAAACACTTTTTTCATTTTATTTCACTTTTCTACTACTTTTCATTTGGCATAAATTTAGGAATTTGGAAAAGGGATCATAAAGTATGAGTGGCATGAGTGTAAATAAATTGTATTAATATGTCAATAGTGTTCCTATATGTTTGCAAATTTTAAATTTGGGCTTAAACTGAATCTTTAAAGATAGATGAGTTTTTATCTAGAAATAATGAATTGTAAGGACCAAAATCTAAAGCACCCTAAATTCAACATCTTTAAAAATAGATGGGTTTTTATCTAGAAATAATGAATTGTAAGGACCAAAATCTAAAGCACCCTAAATTCAACATCAAGGCCGTTAAGATCTTTTCTCTAACGGAGGTTTCCCACATGGTCCTCCAAAGTATGAGACACTTCGGAGCACCATAAAAGTTTGTCACGCTGCAATGAATATATTCTGCAATAGTTTTATGGTGATTGTCGGACTGGTCCTGCATAATCCTGCGGTTCATGGAGACGGAGTCCAAAAAATCTCGCAACCAGCAACAGTCACATGACACTGGGCGGCTGTGCTGCCGAGCGTTGGCAGAGGGGACTCACATGCAAAATGCCTTCCCTACTTTGTCTGCCCCATTTTCTCAACTTGGGAGAAGTGGAAGGATAAACCAATTTGGTCTTACTCTAATCTTTATCCTTGTTTTAAAAAGTTGGTTTTTATGGAAGAAAGAAGTACTCTAGCCCTTTTTTTCCTTCACGCAGGCATTATATATTGGGAGGAGGATTTTATGATAAACATTTTTAACTATTTGAGTTGCACATCTTTAATTTGGTAGTTCAAAAATTGCGTTAACTCATCCGCGTCTTTTCAATTTGGTTTGCTTAAAAGCCAAAATGAATGCAGCATCGTAGCTACTGTTGAAGTTTACCTCTAAATTAACTTTCTCACACCACAACGTTCTTACACAACAACTTTACCAAACAGCCGAACAATAAAAAACTTTTTGAAAAAACAAAAGTTGTCTCAAATATTCAACAAGGTCTTACCTTGAAAAGCTAAGAATTTGTAAATAAGTTTATATGGAGTGTGATTACTTTTTTCCGTTGAAATTAGCTTTAGAGTGAAACCTCAACTTTTTCGAATAGTGCATTCAAATGAAGATCATTTTAAGATAAATAGAGATTCTTGAGATTGTATTCACCTCAAATATGGTCTAACATAACAATGCTCAACCGAAGATTTTAACACTGCATTCTCTTAGAGCCATTTTGTTATCTGAAAGCGTTGCATATTCACGGGGATCGTTATGTTCGAGCAGCGCATGTGCATCTACAACTCCCTTTCCGGCGCCAAACCTCTATGAGTTTCCTAGGTAGTTACTAGTTTCCTTGTCTAGTTATTGCGTTACGGCGACTGAAAACCCTAGCTTTAGTGTGTAAAGTCTTAATCTTGTTGATTTGTAGCTTTTCCCAATTGGTCATATTAACCTGTTGATGAGCTTTTGGGGAGGATTAGGATTGCTTAATCAGCATACTTGGCTCATTTGTTGTGGAAATATATTTTGATTATTTTTATCTTATTTTATTTTTATATGATAATCATTTTCTCTACGTGGCCATGTCAATAACGGGGTGATTCTTAAAACACTAGAAAACTTTTGCAAAGGGTCTTGTGCTATAAGTCTATAACGATGTAGAACGGAATTGGCGATGATCGCGATTCACGAGTTATGTGGGGAATGAAACGGTGGGAAAATCAGGGGATGGATATCTGTACTTATTCATTTCGGCTGGTAATTGTATGGGTTTTCTGTCTCTCCTTTCTCCTGTAACTTATCAGAAGATTATTGGAATGTGTTGATATGAAAAATTTTGACTTTGATGATGTACAATTGTAATTTCATAGTTAGGCGTATAGCTCGACATATACATCTAATTCCATTGTATTAATCACAAATGTCTAAGGCATTACATACATGTTTTTTTTTATTTTTATTTTTTTTTTTTTTACAATTTAGGGTCTTAATGGTTGCTTGATAGAAATGTTTGTTCCTTATATGACGTTTGTTAATTGAGCAGTAATAGCAAAGAAAGCAACGTCTTCTCGAAAAATGGTACATGCTTTTGGGAATGGGATCAATTGAAATGTGTCGTGTCATAATCGTTAGCAATTCTCTTGATTATGTATAGAAAACATTAGCGGACTTATGAGTATTGTGTTGCAATATAGGATCAATGAACTGAAGATTAATGATCTACTTGGCGGAATATCCATTACTTTAAGAAAAGAGTTATTACTTTCTTGAAATTGTTCATGGTCAGCTGTCATTGTTCATTGCTAATTATAGGAATAATTATTAGGCAAAATCCAAAATGACCTTCGTTCTTTTTTTGTAAATCTAAATACTGGCTTTTCCATTAATGATATTATAGGAAGAATTATTGCGTCGTAAACATTTAATCAGGTGCGTTTAGGAGGAAAAATGAACTTGAACTAGGTTAATTTCAGCTTAAATTTCTTTGATGCAGCTATTGCTTGTGTAATAGAAGTTGGTGAATCATAAAATTCTTAGCTCATTAAAGTTGAAGAATAAGCGGTTGAGTTTAGAATCCCTTTTGTTTTGGCTTGCGCACTTGGGATGTTTTTTGGTCGAAAGCGAACTTGGGATTTATGCCTTTATGTTATGGACTTCTGTGCATTTGCGTATTTGGCTTGTTTCTTGGGTCTTCTCTATCAAACTTATCATGTAGCAGGAAACTGTGAACTTTACTTGCCAATAAGTGTGTATTGACACAGAATGAATGTTCACTGAATTGTTTAGCTCCTAGCTTGCTGTGATTGAATTCTAATAATTTCAACTTTCAAACTTCTGCAGATTACAGAGCCCATTTTGGAAGGAAATCTCGTGCAGAGTTGGCGCACCTTTGGAACAAAGCTGTGGACCAGACATTTCGACCTGCGATCGAGTCTCTTAGTTCATCTGGATGGTAGATATACGTACTGCACTGCTTTCGTGACATTAATACATGCTAAACTGAATTTGCCCCACTTTTGTATTTTTGCATATGTTGAGCAACCAGACCATGATTTCAAAGGCATAATAGTTTTGCTGGCAAACTATATTTTTATTTTTGAATTTATATCAGTGAATATGCTTGTCTTTCTCTTCATGATTCGTGACTTTCAAGACACCTCAACATGTACGAAAGATAATACACAAAAGGGAACCCGAATGGTTTTGGCCCTTATTGTCAAACCAATCCATCTGATTCTTTTCTTCCATTGCGACCATTGGAAGTTGCTTTCTAACTAAACATATATCTAGCTTTATGGTTGTTACTACAAATTCCTCACCTAGGGTTTGACTGTGACTTTCCTTTCTGCTGTTTGTGACACTTTTGGTTTACTTTAGGAATGCCTTTCATCCTTTTGAAAAATGAGGACACAAGCGTTTGCGGATTCTAGCTCAAAGGTAGAGTACTTTTGTATCCATAGTTATGATAAGAGTTCGATGTTGACGTTTTTAGAAATTGTAGGACAGAATCATGAAACCTTTTTTTTTTAACTTTTTACTTTCATTATTGTATGATACTTGCCATTTAACTTGTTAACTTGTGACCTCCATTTTCTTTCATATTGCTCTCAATGTGGATTGCGTTAGTAATCATTTGGTTCCTTAGTTGCTTGAATGCTGAAAGGTGAACGAAATTAATTACCATTTAATAAGTACTTTTTACTAGTAAATACCGTGCACTGGTCACTAATGATTATAGATACATACTACATAGTCTGGTTTTAATACAGTGGAGGATAGATCAGAGAGAGATCCAAGTAGGGTTGTAGTCTTGTAGATGGCTTGGTCAAGCCACGATGGTTCATGCAGTGAGAAGAGAACTTCATACATCGGGTTGAACTGTGTTGGGTCGACTCATATGTGATCTGCGTGTGACAAACACATGGTAAGCCCCCATTGCCAGAAAGACTGCAAATGCTAAACCGCACACAATGCCAGCAACCCCAGCAGCTCCGTATCCCGTACCGCCTTTCTGTGATGTAGAGTATTTGCTCTCGTGTGCTTCTGTTGCTTGCACTTGAGCTGCCACATGCAATGGTGAGCAACTGGATGCAACACATGGGTCTTTGGAAATGGGGTTTTGTGACGTTGGATTGAAGAAATCATACGCTGACGGTGAAATTCCCATTGGGTTTGCTCTGGCAAGGCCGTGGGGGGCTCTCTCGTCAGCAAAAGCAACGGAGAGAAAGGTCAGAGAAGAGAAGAGAAAGATGGAAACCCTTGAAGGCATTTTTTCAGACTTGCTAATGAAGTAGTAGTAGTAGTAGTAGTTAGTGTTTTTGTATGAAACTTGTGGGTGCTTTAGTGTGGCTTTTATAAGATCCTAGGAGGGGGTGGTGGTTGCTTGGACTAGAATTTTGGTTGTGAAAAAGAGGTCCGGGAGGGAACAGAATGATGGTGGTGGCATGGTGTACTCTATTGATCTTCCCCATCCCCTAATAAAAATGTCTAAATTCTAGAAATACCCTTTTCAAGGTCAATTTCGTTGCTTTTTTTTTTTTACACTAATCTATCCAAGTTCTTGACCCGACTAATGAGTGCCTTAATTTTACACATGAGTGGGGACGTGGAATATAATTAATCTTCTCCAAACCTTTATGTCCTTACTCAATTGATAGGTTTTCACAATCATATTAACATACTAATTAAATTCATGGTTGTCACATGCAAACCACTTTTCTCAACCCATCTCATTAATTATTTTCTGTTTAGGTTTTCGAAGTCTTCCTTCTATCTTTTAAGAGCATCCCTAATGAGCAGTTTGGATGTTTTATTGGTAAGTTCTCCGATGGACGAGATGTAAAACACCTATTGGCCAGACAATGTAAGTAAAAATACAAATGTCATTCTTACCATATTTGTATCATCTCTTTAATAGAGATGAGATTCACATGTGTTGATAGGTCTTATCTCTACTAGAGAGATGATACAAATAGATGGTAAGTGTAGCATTACTCAAGTAAAAATATAAATTCTTTTTTTTTTCAATTTTTAGAAGTTGTGCCCCGTCATTGAGTAAAACATATATTTTTATATCTCATAAATGTAAAATGAAATGTATATGTGGAAAGATTTTTTAATGTGTCCGGAACATGATGCTTTAAACCATATGTAATTATATAAGTTGAGGGAAAAAAAAAATTTATTGTCCACTTATATAATGACATATGATTTTATATCTCACAGATGTGGTTTTATATATCTGATTTGTATACCTCTATCAAAGATGCTATGAGAAGGGGAGTTGAATACGGAATTTCTGAGTACAAAAATAAATTTTCACGATCAAGTTTGAAGTCTAGTTTAATTATCATTATAAAAAATAAAAAAAAGTTCATTTAAATTGTTCTTGTAATACCGTACAAGTACAATTATACATCCATTGGAAACAAGCGTGGATGTGGTTTTATGAAGGTTTCTTAGATTGGAGGGACAGAAAAGGCAACGTGCGTTCATATCCATTTCATGATGTGTATAATTGTAATCATAATGGCAGCCAAGCTTTGTGTGCGTTTCACCGGCCTTGATATTTGACATTATTGAACTTGTTTAAACGCATGCCATTGCCAATTTCACTAACCTCAAATAAATATATTTCCTTTCTCCCTCACCCTCGAGAGATTTTTTCAGTGTGATCGGAACATGAAATGATACACTACGTGTCACTATACAAATAGTAGAATATGTGTGTTAAAAATTTAATAACTTAAAAACTAAAATTTCTCATAATTTATATAAAAACACGTGATATATCACTCACGTTCCGATCTCAATGAAAATTTTATCCTCACCCTCCACTCTAACATTACAATCATGACTCATCACACCCTTTCAAAGCTTTTTGTTCAACTCTCTCTCTCTCTCTCTCTCTCTCTCTCTCTCTCTCTCTCTCTCTGTGACACAGTGGCACTGAGGCTTCACTTAATGCATACACAAGATCCGTGTTAATTGGATCAGGGCATCACATGTTTGAGCAATGCACCTTCCAAATCACAAGAGTTTGATTGTTTGTGATAAACATCTCATTCTGTTGGCTACTTCAAACATGTCTTTGTTTTTGTGTTTTGTAAGCAAAACACTTAGATATCACTAGTTTAAATCCTTCCAACATTCGGCATTAAACGTGAATACCATTCGTTTGGTGTTTAGAAATTACATGGATAGATCCAGTAGTAAAATTCAAGGTATATTAGAGGTAGAGATGGATGATTTTTTATTTAAAAAAATTTGGACATGAAGAGACATACGTCTATTAATTTTACTATTTTTTATTCTGAAGAAGGAATTAAAATGTAAATATCTTCTTAATAAGTAATATATTTTCTATCTTCAAGTTCGACACAATTATTTCATTTCTTCCTTAGGTGTCCCTTTAATATAGTGGACGGGTTATCTATCCCAATTTCTTAGGTGTCCCTTTAATCTATTTTCTATAGAACTCGTTTATTGGCATAGAGTACGAAAATGTTATGTGATATGACACGTCAGTTGGTCTTGTACAAAATTAGATCAACGAGGTGGGCCGAAGCCCAATGAAGCCCAAGGAGGATAAGGCTCCAAGCCCTTGGCTGGTGTGCTTTTCTCCCAACTTCGGAGTCACCGAAGTAGTCCGGTAGAGTCCTCCTACATCATCCTGCTGCACTCCTCAAGGGAGACTTTGGTAGAGAGCCGGAGGATGAGCGTGAGTAGTAACGCCACAATGCGATCATCAGGAGCATGGAAGAGATCAAGCCCTCGGCCAAGCAACGGCCATGAATGACTGGCACTTTACTGACAATGCTGGTAGAGGTGGGTTCAAAAAACTGAAAACTGAAAAAGAAAATCGGACCTAACACTGAACCGAAAAAAAAAAAAAAAACCAAACCGTGTCCCTTTACACTTTATGAATGTATGCCCATTTTTGTGAAACTTTTGTTGGCAAGTTTGAAACTAGGTCTAGGGCTTTTTCAAGGAGCATACTTGGTTCAATTAGGGAGGATATTTCATTGATTATCGAGGAAAGTTTTGAATGGCTTTGAAACTTTGAAAAGCTTCTCTATTTGTTTGCTTTTTGAATGGATACGGTTATCATTTTTTCTGTGCAATTGAGGTTGTTAATAGCATCAAATTGGTTTATATGATCTTGTATATGTACAACTACCTTCCCACTTTTCCTATTTTCTTATTATTAGTCTACCAATGTAAGCCTCTATTCTAAATTCCATATTAAAAAATGATCAAATTTTATAAAATTAAAAAAATCGAAACCGAACTAAATAAAACCAAACAAAAAAAAAAAGCAAACCGAATAAAATTGAAAGAAAATTGAACCGAACCGAACCAAACCAAAGTTTCTATTCAGTTTCGGTTTTGGCAAAAAACGGAACCGAATGAAACCGAACCCACCTCTAAATGTTGGTGGTGGCGAAGAACAAGAAGTTCGAGAATAGGCCCTAGCGTAAAAAAAAAAAAAAGAAAAAAAAAAGAACTTAGAGAGCAAGTTAGATCAAAATGACTTTCACGAGACAATGTGGGATTTTGACAATCTTTTAGACGACACAGCAACATTTAAACCCATTCCATGCGAATGATGATGACGGAACTTGACTTCAAATCCATTGAGCTCGGCTCGGTATGTGAAACATGAACTCTGGCCGAAAGAAGCTTTCAAAATAGTGAATGCCCATCAAAGTTATGTTTCATGTATAAACACCAAACTTTTCTACACAATTTTTTTTATTAGAGTAAATTTAAGGGAGTTTTCATGAAAAGGGTTTGGGTTAAGTTTGTTTTAATAAAAAATTATGTTATAAATTTATTTAATAAAAAAGATTTAGATTTTAATGAAAAATTCTTAAATTTTAATAAAAATGACAAGATAACTTAAATTTTAATGAAAAAGACATCATTTTAATATTAAAAAAAATTAAAAAAAAAAAACTAACACGCGGACTTGCGTGTCCTCATACAAACTATTTATGAAACTTAGTACATTATTGTTTATGAAACTTTGTACTGTTTGTGAAACTTTCTACACTATTTATGAAACTTAATAGTACTACATTGTTTATGAAATTTAACGATAGATGAAGATTAATTATATATGTAGTTATATAATAACATATGTGTAAAAACAATATAAAATTCCTAATCCTACTTTTATGTATATATATAATCTACAAGGGACGAATTTGACTAAATTCATGCACAAGTAGTAGTCTAATACCGATACAAAGAAAATATTGGAAAATATAAAATTGTTAGAGAGAAAGAGGAAAGGCATTGTTGTCAGGGAGAGTAGTTGATGGAGGAGAAGGAGATGAAGAATAATGAGGCGATGATGAAGTATTGCACGCACTTTACTTAGGTTTTTTTTTTTTTTTTCATTATCTTGTCCTTATCATTAAATAAAATTATAGGATAGCTTTTGGTTAAAATTCAAAGTTTTGAAGTCTTTTTCATTAGTTTTCCTTAAATTTTAATGCTAATGTTTGGGCCCATAATGATAGTTTGGGCCGAGTTTAGAGGCGCTCTCAGCCCAATAACCATTTAGAATCCTGTTATGGGTCGTCCAATCATCATGGGCCATCTAGTCAAGGTCGGCTAAATCCTATTGCGAGCGGGATTGATTTAGATAAGGGTAAGGTAGTCGAAACCTAGTGCAACAAGGAGTCTTAAGGCTAAGGATGAGGATGCTGAGAATTAGGAGATGAATCTGGTTTGTTAAAGAACTTGGTTCAGAGTCCTATTGAAGTTAGGATTGGCCGAGGCCTAATCAGATTAGGTTGAGGAGTTCTAATTCGAGTATGATTCCAGCTCGGCCATGAGGGGTTTGCTACTATAAATAAAGAAGGGAGTACATCATTCAAGCCTTCTCTAATTCAACATGCAAATTGCCCTGCGCAAAGCTTCTCAACAACCTTTGAGATTTTATCATTCTCCTCTTTCTTCCCGCCTACACATCTTTAGTTTGGATAAACAGCACTGTGAAGGCAACCAACGACATCTTCAGTTTGGATAAACAGCACTGGAGCCGTAGAATCAGCCGACTGAGGAGCACCTTCAGTTTGGATAAACATCATTGCTTTGAGACTGACTGGTTATTTATTCAAATCTCAGTCGACAAGGATTTTCAAGTCCTTGTTGGTAGAGGTTATCTCATCAGCCTTCTTAACAAAGTGAGGCGTTGCAGGTTACTAGGCTCGGCACGTTGAACGCCAAGTTATTTTATGATTGAATATTCACAAGTACACTTTAAAGCTCGACATTCCGACGGCCGAACCACATTTACCATCAAGACATACATTTATTTTGAGTATTTGTGTCTATATAGTCTGGTGCCAATTCGGCGTGCTTATACTCTCACGAATATAATCACTGTGACTGAACCCGGGGCCGACGATTTGTGAACTTTGCAGAAGTAGAGGCCTTGTCTTCAAGCTTTAGAACCCGAAGGCTGAGACGTGTTTCTTCCTTGGCCGCAGTTTCAAGATCAAGAAGTCAGTAGCGCGCTTAACGCGACATCAGCATATTTTACTCCCCGGCCGAGCCCGACCATCAAGTTGGCACACCCCGCACATAACCGAATGATGTAGTTAGCTCATTAGTTACTCGACCTACGTGCCACGTAGGCTTGGTAGTTTTTAAAACCAACAGCTAAGTAGATCAATTTTTTAGACTAAATTTACTAAACATGTGATGTGTCTAATTTATTCATAGAATACCGCAAAGCATGCGGAAGATGAAGTAAGAACATTATTTCGCCAAACACCTTAAACAAATAAGTAGAAAAAAGTATAATTTAAAGAAGAAAATCACAAACCGTATAACCTAAATGATATTTATTTGCTGCTTTGTCACTGCTTACGAAAATAGATAATAGTCTATAGTGTATGTAAGAGTTGACATTGTACAATACTTGTATTCATTATCCTCAGCATATGCTATGAGCCTATGTCATTCAATCAATTAAAAAAAATGAAGGTTATTTTTATCGAAAAATTAGTAAGTATCATAACGAACTTCTATTCATGAGTAAATTAAAGAGTATTAATTCTTGCATCCAAATTCATATATTTGTTCTCTCACTTATAAACATTTGGACATGAACTATCATTAAATTACCCAAAAATTATTAATTTTCTAATTAACCTAACGAATAAGAGTGACATGAGTGGCAGCAAAACATCTCTCTCATTACATACGTAACTCCAACACCAAAAGTCTTTAAATTAAAGCAATATCTGCATCATCAAGCAGCTTAAAGCATTACCTACTTATTCCTCCCCAGAAAACGACCAGAAAGCCATAGAATATCGACGAAGATAAGATAGAATAATCACTACAAAAAAAACTCTAAATAATTATTTCATGTAACATCATCCACCTTTTAAAAAGATAGACAAACTCAGCTCTAATGACCTGGCATGCATTATACATGTGTTGTCCCTATAGGCTATGGCCCTAACTACTGCATGCCAAAGATAATGGAAATCAAATGCACCATCGATCTCACTGCCAAGGACCACCACTACCACAAAAACCCTAGCTACATAAAGCATCTTTATTATTTTTTGGCATGTTTATCAACACCAGTTAAATATATGATATAAACAATCTCATCAGCAGCTTTTAAATATTTGAAACGATAAGAACGTATAGAACTCAACTCATCTCTGGTTTTGATATTATATTATTGCAATTAAAATTTAAATTACACCCACAATCCCAATTCGAAAGAGAGGTCGTAGATTGATAGATAAGAAAACAAGGTGAAAAAACTGCATCCAAATGATTCATTAGCATTTTTCGATGGATTTAATTTAATTAGTTTCTTATATGATTAAGTGATGAATAAATATATATAATTTCATGAGTTATCTATTGATCAGATTCGAACTCAATACTTCTTTCAACGTTAAGAAGAGAAATGTACTAACAAAAGCTAGGTCGTCGCTTCATCATGGGATATGATATCACATTTCTACCAAATTACACCAATGGAAACGTGGAGTGCTCATACCATGGAGACAAATTAAGAGTGTAATTTAGCCAAAATTTTATTTATAAACCCCACCATTTAACTAAAGTTAAGTTAAAGTGTATCTTTCGTTATCTCTTAATCAAATGACCCCATTTTCAAACCTGATTAATTAACTCTACCTAATCTGATAATTGTGCTGAGGAATATTCATTAAACTAAAACCAGGATAAGCATTACAAGGTACAGCTCGTATTTCATTAGCTTTCTCTGGCATCAATATAAATACACAACCACTTGAAAAGGTGACAAGAGAAAGTAGTAAATAAAATAAAAGATAAGAATACACAGAAGAAATGAAAATAGCACAAACATGCAAAGCAAAGATAACAAAGAAGAGAGGGATACAAAATAGCACTCTTTGCCCAAAGCCGTGATTATCTACAGTTCCACAGCCCTTCAAATTTCTCCTTTTGAGACCATGAGAGACTTGCACTCCTCTATTTTGTTATTCCTTTAGAAACACCATCTCCATTTGAAAACCATGGATGAAATTAAAAGGCTTAATTAATTAAGCATTGCTTCTGAAAGATCCCAGAGCCTTGATGGCTCCTGCTCTCAGAATGTATTGGTGGTAGAAGGCAGCAATGGCAGCTCCAATGAAAGGTCCAAGCCAGAAGATCCACTGAGATATAAAACAAAACCAATTAATAAGAGAAAATAAAATAATTAAGTCAATTTTTGGGAAAACTGAGAGGGATCATACTTGGTCATCCCAAGCTTTGTCCTTGTTATAGATGACAGCAGCTCCTAAACTCCTAGCAGGGTTGATGCCAGTTCCAGTGATGGGAATAGTGGCCAAGTGAACAATGAACACAGCAAATCCAATGGGAAGTGGGGCCAAGACCTTAATTTAAGACGATAAATAATTTGTAGAGTTAATAAAATTGCCTAAAATGAACCAAAAATTGAGTGATGATTTGGTGTAGTGACACTCGGTCTGAAATTTATTTGAGCCACGAGTTCAAATCTCATAGCTGACAATTGAGTGAGAGATGTGCTTACAGGGACGTGAGAGTCTCTGGCATTTCTCTTTGGGTCAGTGGCGGAGAAGACGGTGTAGACAAGAACAAAGGTACCGATAATCTCAGCACCCAAACCAGTGCCCTTGTTGTAGCCAGCAGACAACTCGTTGGCTCCACCACCATACTTCACGTAGTATGACTTCTGGAAGGCCTTCACCAACCCTACACCGCAGATAGCACCCAAACACTGTGCTATGATGTACATCACTGCCCTGATCAGTGAAACCTTGCGAGCCAAGAACAGCCCAAAGGTCACAGCTGGGTTAATGTGTCCTCCTGCAATTGTCATAGAACAAGACTTAGATTCTGTTATAAGTACTTTTGTATAAAGCGCTTTTAGTCCGTAACAGTTTTTGTTAGTAGCACTTTTAATGTAAACACTGAAATTTATTAAAAGTTCAAGTACTTCTGAAACCCTAGAGTCACTCGAACTTCCTCCAAAAGCACTTATCATATGTTTACAGGAATTTCTTTCAAGTGCTTCTGAGATTTCATAAAAAAAAGTTCTGTTTTTGTCAAACACTTCCATAAGTGCTTCTAAAGTTTCAAAAGCACTTTTATCTATTTATGCTAAGGACCGAGAAAAAAAAGAAGACATACCTGAGATACCGGCGGTGCAGTAAACAAGGACGAAAATCATCCCACCGAAGGCCCAAGCGATACCAAGAATGCCAACGCCGCCGCATTGGTCAGCCTCGCTCTGGGATTTGTAGCCAATGACGGTCAAAACTGTGATGTAAAGGAAGAGGAGGGTGGCAATGAACTCAGCAATGAGAGCTCTGTAGAAAGACCACTTGGTGAGCTCCTCAGCATCAAACAAGGGGGTTGGAGGAGGGTCATGGTAGTCTTTGGCGGCAAACTCACCGTGCTCAGCTCCCTCTACATCTTTTGCCATGGCTTCTGTGACTAATTATGTGGCTTTTGGCTTTTGAGGAATGAGAGAAGAGAGATGTCGTTTGGGATTGTGAGTGTGGATGGAGAGGTGTGAGTGTAGAGGGGTATATATGGGGCAGATAAGAGTGATTGTATGCTAAACAATAATTACGAAAGTAAGTATGTTTATGTTATTGTTTAAGTAAATAATACATGATGATGAAAATGATTTATGTTATTTTTATGCCGCCCATAATCCCTAGCTTGATTTCGCTTGCATGGGTCCCCTTCTTGTCCCCCAACGGTTACTAAAAATAAAAGGGTTTTACTTTAGTTTCTCACCTTTCATCACTTCAGAGATATAATATATCACCCAGGGTCCTAGAGACAAATAAAGAGTGGTTGTTAGACCTACAAGGGTTCTTTTTATTTATTTATTTATTTACAAATGTTACTCAATTTAAAATGGCAAATGTAGTGGGTAGAATAATGCGCTTGAAAACAAAATGGTAAATATAAAACGGTCATCCAGCCTAAAAAATGGTAGCCAACGGTCTAATGCTAACACTCACATTTTTTATTTTTGGTTGCTTTGGTTACTTACGATGGATGGATTTATAGGAAATGAGTATCATTTTTTGTTCATGTGCTTATTAACAACCAATAAATTGAAAAAAATGTGTATGATTCTCGTTCATGTGTTAACTTAGGAATGAATATAAATGGAATTCAAGTATCTCATATCTTCTTATTCCTTAAAACCGAGGTATAAGATTACCAAGAGAGGATTGTTTCTCCCATATGCAATCTTTCATATCCACATCCCTTCATATCCCTTTTATTTTTTATTGTAAATTCGATGTAAAGATTTCTCTTCTCCTTTCTCTTTATTGCTTTCGTGCATGTAAATTTTTTTACCAAAAGAAAACTTCTTTGGTAAGAATTGCATCCACAATTAAATGGAAAATATGCAACCCCCAATTGTGAAAAACAATAGAAAAAGAACCTGTAAAGGTTGGGGAAATTCACATATATAATAAGAAGCCTACCATTGTGAATTCAATAATAAAAGGAAAAGAACCATTATCTCTAAACTTTTAATTAATTTATTTATGGATATTTTATTCCTAAATGTATTGTCATATGTTAGCTGATGACGGTTTGCCAGAACAACGTATCTGGATCCTACCTAAAATCAAATGGTATACATATATGGTGGTTATGCACCACTCGTCATCTCAATTATGGAACCGATGGTGTTTTTCTTTCCTAAGATTCAGGTTAATTTTAGGGAACTTTAACGAAAAACTTCTGGTATTTTCACTTTAACCAAAAACCACATTTTTACACTAGAAAGTCAATCTTGGTACTATTCACTTTACCCTTTATTTTGTCCATATCGTTAAAACTCAAAATTTTTAAGTACTTTTAATTAGTTTTCCTTTAATTTTATAACCCAAACACAAAAAACATGTTGAGTTTAGAATTAGAAATAGACTTATTAGAACTTTAGAAAATTCAGACAAAAATATGGTTTCGGAGTTAAGTTGATATCGTATTGTAATTTGACTTTAGAATTTGTATGTATCTTAAAATTGTTGAGTAAACTCTCTTTAAATTTTAACCACTAATCGAAAAGTACCACAACAATTTGGAACATGAAAGTAATTTAACTTAGAATTATATGCATCCTAAAATTTTGTGTAAATTCTCCTTAGGTTTAGTAGAATTAAAGGACGAGAATGCTATGGTTGTGTGGTTAGATGCAACTTGTGGATGCTTATGACTTTCACCACATGTCGGAAAAGTAGCACAACAATCTACATCATCATGAAAGTAAGTGGCTAACTATAATAATATGTACAAGTCATTTTGAAATAAAATCCATTTTCCCCTCGCTCTGATTGAGAAGTAGGGAATCCGTGTGTATTTTAGAATTAAAGAGCTACTGTTACTTTTATATATCGAAATTATCTACATATGGACTAGAACAATGTACAACTCCCTTGCACTTATGTTCAAATTTCGATTTTCATCTAGATTAAATTAAGTTGTTGTTTAGATGAAGAAATTTTTTGAATATTTACTAAGTATTTTATGTAAGAGCATCTTTGTCGATTGGCTGATTGATAAGGCAATTGAGTTGAATTGTTCTTAGTTTCAAAAAACTTTTTCCACCGGTCCAGAAATGGGAGGGCAATTGGACCAAGGGCTTGTGCTTGTTAGACTACCCTTGCAACAATTGCTTGGGCTTGAGCTCGTTGGGAGTAGGCATTGGCCTGGAATGCTCTCACAGCCGTTAGATTTCCAACGGTCCTTTCATCTGAAGTGTTGGATTTTCAGAGATAAAAAAAAATATATATATATTATAGATTGTGCCAAGTGGCATAATTTGGTGCACCTAATTTAAACAAAATTTGATAAATCAACGGCCTATATTAATGATACACTTAAAATTAAGGGTTAATCTCTATTTATTACCCTAAATTTTCATGGTTTTCAACATTTGGTACATGAAGTTTTTTTCATCCCAAAGTCATACCTCAAGTCTTGATTTTGGAACAGTTTTAGACATCCGTTAAGTTTTCTGTTAAAACTTTTGTTAACTGATGACGTGGCACCCACGTGGACAATAATTGAGCGCCACGTGTCAATATGGGCCCACTTTAATATTAAAAAAATACAAAAAAAAAATTTAATAACAAAAAAAAGTTTATGGGCCTTAAAGTCCCACCCGTCTTCAACCTCCCCCAACCTCCTCCTTTCTGTCTTCTACACCGTCGTTTCGGTCACCAGCGACCCCCGCAACCCCTAACCCCATCCCTCCCTCCTCCTCTACACACCATGTCCTCTCCCGCCTTTCCGTTCTCCAGCTAATTAATTCCTTCTTGTCCATCACCTTCATCGCAAATACGCACCCTTGCGCCCCACCAGGGGACTTCAATTTGGCCAAGTAGACGGAGTCAATGTCGCCAGAGCCGAGGTTAGAGGGAGAGTTGCTGAATCGGGGATTCGGATCCAATCTTGTAGATTGTGGACCAAAGAGGGTCAGAGGAAGAGGAGTGAGGTTGGGACTTGGGGACTATGGAGGCGGGAGGCGAGCGGAGGAGGAGGCAGAGGGCGGGAGCGTGGATTCGGAGCTGGTTGTGTAGCCGATTGCTCTGAAAGGCTCGCATATTCCTGCTCTCTCTCTCTCTCTCTCTCTCTCTAGGGTTTTCTGAAGCTTGTTGAAAGACAATAAATATAAGAGACATAGAAGAAAATGGAGACGCCAAGCAACGAGGAGAGGGACTGAGATGGGGAAGGAGGTTAGGCCCAGAAACTTGGTGGTGGTGGTGTTCGTGGTTGTGGTGGAGGTTAAGCTCAAGCTTTGGAGAAAAGGGATGGAAGAGGTCGAGGGTTGAGGCCCATAATTTTTTTTTTTTTTTGTATTTTTTAATATTAAAGTGGGCCCATATTGACACGTGGTGCTCAGTTATTGTCTACGTGGACGCCACGTCATCAGTTAACAGAAGTTCTAACGGAAAACTTAACGGATGTATGAAAATGTCCTAAAATTAAGACTTGAGGTATGACTCTGGGATGAAAAAAACTTCATGTACCAAATATTGAAAACCACGAAACTTAAGGGTAGTAAACAGAGATTAACCCTAAAATTAAACACTTAACAAACTTACAAAGTTAAACAATCTTCTTCTTCACCTTATTTTTTCATTAATTATTGCTTGTTTGTAATGCCATGTTTTGCCTTGTATTTAAAATTAAATTATCGGATTTATATAGGGAGTCTTATTTTTAAAGAACAAACTTACTAAGTACACACTTATAAGGCATAAATATAAAAATTATATTTAAGAATAGTAATCGTCATTACCCTTGCCCTTCATCTTCCCAAATGGATGAACTCGCACAATGACAGTTAATGTTCACACTACATAATAAGGGCACTTCTTGCCCTTGACTTGCCATCACCCTCCTAAAAAGGGTGGAGATGCTCTAAGCCAAGTTTACGTACACCATAAATAAAACAAATTTAGGATCCAAACATCGTACAAAAATACATAGCTCATGACAACGTCACCATACATAAACCACATATTTAATTTATATTTTTGGTGAAATGTTGACGCCATGAATTGACAACCATGGGCCATGGCCGCCCCACTCTAATATAATTTATTACTCTAACCCATTTGGATTGTTTTTCCAATTGACAATTTGACAATTTGACATTCCCCAATTCTCCACAATTCCGCATTTTGTTTTCAATTACTTTCAATATTCTCTGTGTGGTTTTTTTCCCCTTTGAATTTATGGCTCAAAATGCAACACTCCAAAAACTTGAAGGGTGGATGATGTAATTGAAAGAAAAATTTTATTTGTGTTTTTGGCTTTGTGTGGCTGCAAGTGACTTCTCATTGGTCGGTGCCTCCTCCAATTTTTTAGTACACGATTTAGCCATATTTTAATTTTTTTAAATAATAATTTTTATTATAAATGGTAAGATAACTTACATTACTTTAATGGGGAGTCAGATTTGAACATGAGATTTCGAATGTAAGGACGAATGTTTTTAACCAACTGAATTACAATTCACTTGCATTTAGCCATATGTTAATGTTAAGTGATTGCTAAATGGTTGTGTAGACATGTAAATTTTGGTGAAACAAATACTCACTAACAAACTAAATTTTTGACATGTTAGGACTTAAGTGACACGAATTGTGGGTCTCACAAATTGCACAAATGCATGTGACTCATCAAAATCGAATGAGTATGAGATATCAAGAGTGACACGTGTCGACATTTGGCTGAAAATAATTAAGGAGTTATCTTTAATTAACCTTGATTTAAATCTAACAATTAGCCGAATTAAGGATGAAGTTGATTGATTTATTTGATCAAATCAAATATAATTTGATTAAATCAACATTATTTGATGAAATCAAATTGGATACGAATCATGTCCAAATCAAGTTTTGGCCCTTTCGTCAATTAATCAAGTCCAAATTAATATCAAATCAAACCTCAACCAAGACATGGAGAGACCTATAAATACAAGACCCTAAGATAAAGAAGGGTCCTCACATCCACATATCCCTCAGACCCTCA